GATAGGAGACGCGGAAGGTATTAAACTGATCAGAACAATACTAAACACACTACAAATAAGGTTTCTCTCCTGTATGGCTCCTCAAATGATGCTTAAGATTAGAAGCGGCTGAAAAGCATTTCTCACACTCCGAACAAAAATATATTTTAACATTCTCTCCACTTTGAACGAAATGACGTTTGGGAAGAGATTAACATAATTAAACACAGGCAGTAAAAATACAGTTTTTAGCCATACCCTGTAACTTAAAAACTACACATCCCATCTTCATAATTACATATTTGGAATCAGCACACTTAAAACATAAACATAACCAAAAATCAGCCAAATCCATCCAGGGGTTAAAAAGTTAGCTGGAGGTCCCTTTTATGACCGACCGCAAGCACATTTTCCTGCCCAAAACAGTTCCATAGATTTGGGCTGTGAGGTCGGTCTATTTCAGGCTGAAAAAACGACTAAGTCCCATCGCGAATGGGACCTAGTCTCTGCAGCTGAAATAAGGCTGAAAAAAAGACTAAGTCCCATCGCCGAATGGGACTTAGTCTCTGCAACTAGTAAGGCTATGAAAACGGCTGAAAAAGGGCTAAGTCCCATAGCCGAATGGGACTTGGTCTCTACAGCGAAATAAGGCTGAAAAGACTAAGTCCCATCGCCGGGCCAGGACTTGGTCTCTACAACTGAAATAAGGCTGAAAAAGACTTAAATCCCATCGCGAATGGGACTTAGTCTCTACAGCTGAGAAATAAGGCTGAAAAACGGCTGAAAAAAGGCCAAGTCCCATCGCCGAATGGGACTTAGTCTCTGCAGCTGAAATAAGGCTGAAAAAAACGGCTGAAAAAAAGACTAAGTCCCATCGCCGAATGGGACTTAGTCTCTGCAGCTGAAATAAGGCTGAAAAAAACGGCTGAAAAAAAGACTAAGTCCCATCGCCGAATGGGACTTAGTCTCTGCAGCTGAAATAAGGCTGAAAAAAACGGCTGAAAAAAGACTAAGTCCCATCGCCGAATGGGACTTAGTCTCTGCAGCTGAAATAAGGCTGAAAAAAACGGCTGAAAAAAAGACTAAGTCCCATCGCCGAATGGGACTTAGTCTCTGCAGCTGAAATAATTTCCCATTTACTGAACCAAGTGGGAAATAGCAAGGCAGGCACAAAGGGTTTGCACCAGGTCTGGGGACACAGGGGACACCGTCTTAAAGGGGCGTGTCCCCAACAAGTCTGGGGACACGGCCTTAAAGGGGCAGTGTCCCAATCTTCCTGATGTCCCAAAAAAGGTGTTTAAAGGGCCAGCACCAGTCACATAAAGAGTCCATAAGCCCCAATATGCCCACCGACAGTCTTAAAGGGCCATACACACCAAATAAAAGTGCATACATTTTCACAATCTCCCAGGGGCCATAGTCATGCGGGAGGAGGCTGGCAAAGAGGCTTCTCCACAACCCAGGGAAACAGGGCAATTTGCCATTTAAAGGGCCCGTTACAAATAGCAGTTTGTAACAAGGTGTCAATCCATATCTGCCAAGTGACCCGATGTAGGGGGAACAGTCCCTATTCTGCTCTGTGTCAGTGTGTATCAGGGATCCTTAGGACAGGTGTCAATCCATATCTGCCAAGTGACCCTATGTAGGGGGACCAGTCTCTATTCTGCTCTGTGTCCGTGTGCATCAGGGCTCTGAGGACAGGTGTCAATCCATATGTCAAGGTGTCAATATGTCATATGTCGGGTGTCAATCCATATTGATTGTGATTTAGGAATGTTAGGTGATTTCTGCCCTTTATGGATTAAAACCAGACTCTGTATCAACTGTGTAATTTTCCATGGGAGTTTTGCCATGGATCCCCCTCCGGCATGCCACAGTCCAGGTGTTAGTCCCCTTGAAACAACTTTTCCATCCCTATTGTGGCCAGAAAGAGTCCCTGTGTGTTTTAAAATTCGCCTCCCCATTGAAGTCAATGGCGTTTCGGGCGGTTCGCCGGTTCGCGAACATTTGCGGAAGTTCGCGTTCGCCGTTCGCGAACCGAAAATTTCGGGTTCGCGACATCACTACCTCTCACTTGTTTATATAAGCCCACCTGAATCAGATAAGTATTAGTTGGGTATTTAAGCACTGGCTTGCCCTGGGAACTTTGTTAGTTCATTGACTGTTTGTTCCTGGCTCCTGACCTCGGCTCTTCTTTGACCTCTGACTTCCCCTGACTACGGCTTTCCAAGACTACTCTTCTGCTTGTCCTTGCCTTTACTGCGACTTGGAGTATATCACAGGCTAGGTGAATTCTTACCTGACCCCCTTGGTCTGTGTTTAATTGCAATGGTGAGCATATATCTCTGCCTACCAGACTCCTACCTCAGGTAAGCCATGACAAAATGTTACTACTAAAAACATTTTTATTACTTCGCAAAAAGAAAAAATTAGTCCATAAAAACTTACTCACCCTTATTTGTATTCCAGAAATGATAACCAGCCTTTAAAAGAAAAGCATTATCTGCCAGGAACCTCTGGACACTTATTTAAAGGACCACTATAGTGCCAGGAAAACATACTCGTTTTCCTGGCACTATAGTGCCCTGAGGGTGCCTCCACCCTCAGGGACCCCCTCCCACCCGGCTCTGGAAGGGGGAAAGGGGTAAAAACTTATCTTTTTCCAGCGCTGGGCGGAGAACTCTCCTCCTCCGATCCTCCTCTTCTCCTCCCCGTCGGCTGAATGCGCACGCGCGGCAAGAGCTGCGTGCACATTCAGCCGGTCACATAGGAAAGCATTCATAATGCTTTCCTATGGACGCTGGTGTGCTCTCACTGTGAAAATCACAGTGAGAAGCACGCAAGCGCCTCTAGTGGCTGTCAATGAGACAGCCACTAGAGGATTAGGGGGAAGGCTTAACCCATTCATAAACATAGCAGTTTCTCTGAAACTGTTATGTTTATGAAAAAATGGGTTAACCCTAGCTGGACCTGGCACCCAGACCACTTCATTAAGCTGAAGTGGTCTGGGTGCCTAGAGTGGTCCTTTAATGTCTACATGTGTTCTTAAAAATGTCAGCTACACTAAACTGTATAGAAAGTTTCAATGGGTTATACCATTCCTGCAACCAGGGAGGAGAAAGTGTGAATTGGCTCTCCTTTTTCACTGTTAGCACTTCATGAGCCTTCCAGATCTTGATAAAAACTGCAAGAGCACTTTTTAAATAGCTTTATTATAAATATATAATTTACCTGCATTTATTGTACAATGATCAGTCACAACACTAAAACCACTGAAAAGTGTACTGAATGACATTGATTATATTGGCACCTGTCAATGGTTGGGATATATTAGGCAGCACATCAGTTCTTTAATGTTAAGTGTTGGAAGCAGGAAAAATGGGCTAGCGAAAACATCTGAGTGACTATGATAAGGGCCAAATAGTGATGGCTAGACAACAACATTAGTTTAAAGGGTAATCCAGACCCTTGCTCACGGTGCCTAGAGAGATATCAGCTATGCCTCACTGATGATGCCTAACAAGGCTGAAACGATCGTCTGGGGTTGCTGTGTTTCTCGTGCAGAGAGAACTTGCTGGCATTTCGGATCTGGACTGCCCGTATGGGTGGGACCAGTCTGATATGCTTTAGATATGTTCTCTCTGTAATGGCACAAGATGAGCTAACACCAGCTTGAGTTCTCAGCGGGGACCCACCGAAGGGCAGGCTATTTTAGCTGCTGTCCGTTCTCAGAATACTCTTGCGACCCATTTTTTGCTCTCTGGCTAGACAACTAAATCAGAGCATCTCCAAAATGTATTGGTGTTCCCAGTGTAGTGGAGCCCGAGTCCTAACAGGAACTTTCCTCTGCTGGATCACCAAGAGTAGAATCAGAGACAAGAACATGCCAAGTAAATAGTCTACCTCCTCTCCAGCAGTTGGACGACACACAGTTCTGAGAGCACAACTGACTTTATCTTGCCACACTCGGCTTTTATGCATTGCCCAGCATGTGGTTTCCAAATCAGAAACACAAAAAAACACAAGGGTTTCTTTCCCAAGAGCCTTTGTAATTGAGAGATAATTGAGCTCAAATTAGGATAACTCCATTATCTCTCAAATGCAAAAACTTACATATAATTTTAACCTATCAAAAAAAATACATGAAAACATTACAGGAACCCCACAAAAATCATATTCCCGAATAGCCCTGATATGAGCGCACAACATACCCACAAAGAGCTCAGATCGGTTTGGTAAAACGAAAGTTAAGTTCAATCAAAGTTTTGACAGTTTCAGAGAATTAGGCAGGGTGGCCAGTTGGCTTTCAGGGGTTCTTGAGGAATCCATACTTTAATGCATCAAATCTGTTTTGGCAGCATGAGGGGGACCTAGATATAAGGCAGGTGAATTTAATGGAGTGGCTGATTGTAATATGTGGGTATTATGCTCAAATGCATTTTTTTATTTTACTGTTGCCAATTTTAATAAGATGCATTGTTAGTAAAGTCTTCATGTTTCTTACAAATATCTATAAACACACAATCTGACCATTTAGAATTATTTATTTTTGCCACCCCTCAAGCCTACTTTTGGTGAGATTATGTGAGAACGTGCATTACAGGTTTGTGAATTCAGATACTAGAACCCAAAGACAGAATTTGATTATTATTATTTTAGTAACACAATGACAAATGTCACAGTGTCAACATTACAAAATATCTTCCCATTTGCCATCCCTGCAGGGGACAGTCACATCTAGGGTTCCACCCCAGACCACTCTGTATCACTACAGGGTTTTCTTCTCCCTACCCCGCTGGTATCTGGCACTCAATACACTGTACCACCTGTTCTTAC